AGATGTGTTGTGCAAGTACCCAAATGAGGCCCATGTTGGGGTAAGTGCAGGAGATCCCGCCTACCCTAGGAAAACCGGACTTACCCTAGAAAAGCATGACTTACCCTTGCAAAACGCGACTTACCCTCAGAAAACTTGACTTCTCCAAGGAAAACTTGACTTATGCTTCCCGCTTATAAATACCTGGGTATTGAGAAGACACGAACCGACCACTGGCACTGGGCAAGGTGGGAATAAAATGACCTAGCCTTCAGCCTGGATTTAGTTGTCTTCCCGGACCGCAGCTCTTCTTCCCAGACTCGGAAGCAAGCATCTTCGCGATACAAATCTGCCTTCCACCCACTTCTGCCTTCAGTATCTTGTGACATCCGGACTTGCGGTGCACGCGTAAAATGGTTCACGCGTGAGCGGAAAGGTAATTAAGCCCTCGATAAAAGAAAACATACTGTAGTGCCGACGTCGGCGGCCAGTCTTTTGCATGGAAAAATCTATGGGGAGATACCGTAATGTTAAGGATGCGGATAGGACGAGCTAGGTTTTTGTTGGATTCCGGAGCTGCTTGCGTATCTGTCAGTTTGGTGCCCGTGGCGTGCAAAGCCAAGATGTACCTCCCCTCGACTGTGCTCGGTGTGCAGTATACCTCACTCTCACTCGAAGGCAAGGTCCCGGTTCCAATCCAGGCGCCGCCAACAATGGGCTCATTTCTCTTTCTTTTAGGGCACCTTCGCACTTCTCAATTCGTCACGCGCTCTTCTTCCTTCCCCCCCCCGGCGTTGCTCTTCGTGCTTCAACGGAGACGGACGGTGCGCTGCAGGTTGAAGCATATCACGAAACAATTGTACAAGCAGAGAGAGTCACCCATTGTTCATGGTACACCAACATACCAGGAAGTCGAACATCACCACGTGGTCCTCATTATTTGCATCAAAAAAAACACTGTATTCACCTCACACCTTCCTATCTAAACAAGCGCAATCCAACCCCCAACCAAAAAACGAAGAACTTAACACACAACAACCTAGACCCACCCTTACGAACACTGCGTAAGCGTCATAACAACCGACGCCGCCGCCGGCGCAGCAGTCTGCACAGCCGCCGGCGCCGCCGTAGTAGCAGGCGCCGCCGCAGCCGCCGCACCTCCCGCCGCGGCTCCAATAATGCTATTAAACGCATCGGCAGCAGCCTGGTTCTGGGTCGTCGCCACCGCAGCCGCTGAAGCCTTGGCACAAGCAGCCTGCACGGTCGCATCAGCGTTACACGGCGACCCGAGGCGCTGGCAGATAAACCCAGCAATGACAGCAATGTTCAGCGCGCTGCCATGGTTGAAGTCGGCCTGGTTAGCCGCGATGAAAGCATTCGTGTTGCGGCCGTCGAGCCCGGCCTTGAAGACGATGGTCGGGTTGCTGCACTTGCCCAGGGCACCCGCACGCTTCGCCTTCGTGGCGCCGGCTCCGGTATTGGCGGCTACGCAGGCGGCTTGCTGGGTCTCGCACTGGGCGATGCCGCCGGCCAGGGCGCCGCTGTTGGCGGCGTTGGCGCAGGCGTTGTGCTGCACGTCGCAGCTGCGCTGGACGGCTGCGCCGAGGTTGACGAAGGTGTTACCCTTGACTGTGAAGGGGCGCTTGCTGGCGCCGTCCGAGGCGATTGGTGGGGGGGCGCCGCCGAGCGTGCCGGTGAACTTCTGGATGTTGGCGGCGGATCCGGCGGCGGCGGTCTGCGCGGGGGTGGCGGCGGTGACGAGAGTGGTTGCGGCGTTCACGGCGATGGTGGTGGTGATCAGCGAGCAGGAGGTGGTTGCTGCGGCGGCTGGGGCGGCAGCCTTCTCGGTGACGGTCACGACGTTGGGGGTGCAGTCGGACTCTGCGGCCGCGGTCTCGGTCACGATGACCACCTCGGGAGTGCAATCCGAGGCGGTGGCGGTGGCGTCGGCCGCGGTGGTGACGGCGGCGGCGGCTGAGGTGACGACAGCAGCGGCCGAGGTGGCAGCATTGTCGACGGCGGCGAGGGCGGCGAGATGGGTGGCCTTCAGGACGCCTGTGCCGGTGATGGTGGGGGTGATACCGACAACCGCCGCAGCGATCTCTTCAGGGGTGGCGTCAAGGACGAGGAGATTCTGGGAGAAGATGCAGCCGGGATCGTCGTTCTGGGTGTCGCAGGCGTTGCCGCGGCCGGTGTTGTCGCTGGTGCTTCCGGGGGCAAAGGTGCCTGTCTCGAGAGCCAGAAGGGGGTCGGCACCCACTGCGGCAAGCTGCTTGGCGAGTTCAAGGACGATGCCCTTGTTGATGGAGGCGGCGTTGGCAGACGCGGGGTCCTGATGCTGGGTGAGGGCGGCGATCTCGGGGTTGACTGCCTTCTGGGGGCAGATGACGCTGGCCAAGCCAACCTTGCCCGTGTTTCTTTCGATAGAGCGGTACATGAGAGCGCCAGCCATGCCGGGGATATCGCCGGCCGCCTTGGCGTTGGTGAAGGCCTGGTCGGCCGTCTCCTGCTGCAGGCAGTCGGGGTTGGTCACGAGCCCGGCGCCGGCTGAGGCAGCGGCATTGCCGAGCAAGCCAAAGACCGAGTCCTGGATCTTCTTCGGGTTGTTGAGGACCAGGGACTTCTGAACCAGCTTCAGAATGAACTCGTGGGAGTGTTCCTGGGGAACCTCGCGGGCCTGGATCGCGTTGTTGGGGAGGGGGTTGGCAGAGGCCAGGGCAAATGCCAAGAACAGGGAAGAAACTTGGCACTTCATTGTCGTCTGGTACTTTTGATGACACTGGTGTAAAAGATACAGAATGAATCGAACGTGGTAAAAGGACCGGCCCAAAGTTTGCAAAAAAAGCTCAACTGATGGGGGTGAGTGAAAGAATGGAACGGTTCGCAGAACCTGTTTGAAAAGAAGGACGAAAAAGAAGAATGAACCGACGATGGAAGAAGAGATGCCAAACAGAAAGAAACAGAGCAAAGAGGGGGATGACTAGAATCGTTATATATCATCGCCATCCCTCGTGCTGTTCCTGGTCGTTGGCAATGGAATGGGAGGCATGAGATGCGGGTCGTCTCAAGTGTCGACCCCACGACCGGGGTTGAACAAGATCAGACGATGGGCGCCAGGGACACTGACCAGGGCGCAAGAAACCATCGCATCAGCCCCTGGAGGAGTTCGCAGCCAGCACCGTTGTGATGCTTGTCGAAAAGTCGACCCAGCAGGGCCATGATACGCCACCATCCCGGCACAGGGACACTCGCGCCTGTCGAGGCCCTGCCTAGCACGCCTCGTCCGGAGGAAACGCGATTGGTGTTTGGACGGCCCCCACAATCGGGAGGAGGGCATTTTGGACGGTCAATGCTTTGTTCTGTGAGCAATGCATGAGTCTCTGGGACGAGTTGGTGGCGCAACAGCCCTGCGGGAGGCGCGATTGTCGATCGATCTGCTGTGCCACACGCTTCAACGTGCAACGCTGGATCAATCTGCATGCATGGGCGACACTGCATGGGACGAGGCCTGGAACCAGGACGCCGTCGCCTCTGCTGATTAAGGGGAGCCTCCTTGGGAGGAATGGTCCGGATCGGGGCCTGGCCGAAATTCATATTGTTCCATCGCGCGGGGGTCCAGCTCTTCGCAGCTCCTGGGTCTCGACAAGCGGCGCCGCGCTTGCGGAAGGGCGGTGTCTGCGACAGGGAGGAGAATAAGCATTGCGATGCAAACAATTATGCTGCGTCCGCAGCAGAAAGACAAGTCATCCGAAATGAAGCATTGTCAGGCAAGTGCTCCGCCATTGGCGATCTTGGGGATCTCTGGGGGATCTGTCAGTCACGTTGATCTGTCGCGTTGTGAAAGATTGGATGGAGAAACCCTGAATTGCGATGACAGGCCATGAACAGGGCAAGAACGCAGGCAGGGTTGGCAAAACAGTGGTGGGGTTTTCCTCGCTTGGAGGCGCTTCGCGAAGGCGAGCCGTCTCAGGTGTCCCGAACCGGCTAGCGCGGCGCCCGTTGTGAAACCCGGGGCAATAGCAAGGGTTCCCGCCTGCCTGGAGCGCAGGCCTGGTTGGGGGATCCGGATTTATCTTATCGTCGACGTCCTCTGTTTATTGTTGCTGCAATAACCCGTGTGCGTGCAAATCTTCAATGGGGCGCGATCAACGTTATGGCATGATTTTGGCGATCATTAAAGAGGAGGAACCACCAACGACGATTGGACAAGCTTTCCATTTGCATTGGATGTGAAGTGGTCCGAGCTCGTCGTTTACCAAGTCGTGCAAGCAGACCTTGCGCCGCAAAAACCGGCTTGCCGTCCGTATCGACAAAGCGCTAACAGACTGAAGAGGATGTGTAGGTCGGATTTGGTGGTAAAGATGCTTCCTTCTGGGAAGAAGAGTTGCAGCCCGGAAGACGACTAGATGCCGGTTGGAGGCCCACTTTTATGACCACCTCGCCCCGTGCTCTGCTCCTGCCCTCTCAAGACACAAAAAATGCTGACAGCCCATGAGGTTGCCAGATTGACAACCTAGACTAAATTTTGTTGACTGTCATCGCTCTGTCCACTGCACTGACGGCACTGGCAAACAGGATTTTGCTACTAGTACCTAGGTAGGTAGGTCGGAGGGTGTCTTTTTACCACGTACCGCCTACCAGAAAAGAAGGGTTGGGGAGAGGGGAGGTGAAAATTGTTGCCACGCCGGCTTTAAGAATCCAATTTTGGTGACTGTGTGCCTGTATCTCTGAGAATGAAATGGTGGTGGACACGAGGTTCGTAGCCGCACCAGCAAGAAAAAAGTGCACACGAAAGTGGGAAGGGAGCCTGAGGACAGCGAAGGTCGCTGGTCAGGTGGTTGCAGTTCGGTACCTTATTTGACTGTGGTAGTTGTTCCTGCTCATTCTAAATCTGCTGCACTATTTGAGTGCATGTGGTGCGTACCTGCCTTCAATGTCTCCCGCAAGACGGTGCTATGCAGTGGCCAAAGGATACCTAGGTATATGATTTAGTTCTCTGACCCGGGTCAGTACAACATGTTGGCAGTGTAGTATAGCGGTCAGTACATGACGTGCGAGGAACAGGGCGTGCTAGCAATACACCGGCTTTGGCCAGGCCTGTGGCAGGCGCGTCATCGAACTCGTAACCTCAAGGTCCTGGTTCGAATCCAGGCATTGTCAACGGGCGCCCACCTTTTTTTTTTGCTTCTCTATTTTCTTTTTTCTTCCTATTCGATCCCCTATTTTTCTTCATCTTTTTCTTCTTGATCTTTGGTTATTGTAAGTTTCACAGACAGACCAACGCGCGACGTCTAAGAACAGCGGTGGTGGAAGGACGGAGTGATGAAGAACAAAGGCTCGAAACGCGTAATACCCTCCCTCAGCCACAATCCGTCACAGTTCCGTCTAAAACCCAACAACCCCATCCTTCATAATCAGTTCCCCAGCATCCCCATCCCTCCCACCCTCAACCACACTCGCAACCATCCTCCCGCCCTCACTCGGCTCCCCCGCTCCATTCGCAATCGCAATCTCCTTCAACCCACCAATATCCGTCGCCAGGAACCCCGGCTCAATCGCAAACACTTTCACGCCATCCACACGCAGCTTAGCCTTCCAGTCCACCATCAGCATGTTCAACGCGCTCTTGCTGGCACGGTACGAGGCCAGCTCGAGGCTAACCTGCTTCGGCCAGCCCGGTTCCGTGGCCGGCGGGAACGGGAAGTGCGCCTCGTCGGCGGCGAAGGTGAAGGAGCCGAGCGAGCTGGAGATGAAGATCAAGCGCGGTGAGGCACTACGGAGGAGGAGGGGCGCGAGGGTGTAGGTTAGGATGTGTGTGCCGGCTACGTTGACGTTGAAGGTTCGGGTGAAGCTCTCGCGCTGGGTGATTAGGTGGCGGATGTGCCAGTCTGAGTCTAGTTGGACGCCTGTCATGGTGTGGGTGAGTTGTTCGCTCCTCTGAGGTGAAGGAATTGTGGGAGTGACTTACCTGCGTTGTTGACGAGCGTGTCGATGTGGCCGTGCTTGGCCTTGATGGCCTCATAGGCGGCGGCGATGGACTCGTCGCTTTCGAGATCAAGCTGGAGAAGCTCGACTGTGCCCTTTGCGTCAGGGAGCTCCGCTTGCAGTGTGGCCACGGCCTGGTTTCCCTTCTCAACAGAACGGCTGCCAAGGAGGATGTGGTAGGATGTGGGAGACTGGAGCAGGGCCTTGACTGTCTCGTAGCCGATGCCGGTGTTGGCACCGGTCACTAGGACGATGTTCTTGGTGGAAGACATTGTTGGTGAGTCTGATGTGTGTAATTTGGACGAGTCGTTTCTGGTGCCTTCTCACGCCAAGTCTCAGACTTTGTGTGCTTTATAGACAGAGGTGATGATAGGACTCAAGATGGATTTAGGGGTTGCGAGGTCTTCTATTTCCGCCACGGTTCCTTCAAAGGTGACTAGTAGATCCTTGGTGCATGCCAGGCCGCTGACGGATGACTACTGGCTGTCTCTGACACATGAGGCCTTAATGACATGGCCGTGCAACATTCTGCACTGAGGAGACGATCCCTTTCTTCCTCGCATAACATAACCCGGAGTTACCACTGCCTTAAGTCCGGTATCCGAGCAAAACAGACAGCTCGCACTCTTGCCCCGTCAGTCCTAGGTCAGTCCTACCGGTGCTCAGTCCTAGGTAATTAAGTCCTACCATCCCTTTTGGCTATCGACATAAGCGAGAGTACAACGTGCGGCTGTATGGCGCTAGGGAGATGTCTGAAGAGATGGAGCATTTGGACAGGCAATCAGAGCATTAACAGACCGTCGATCATCCTTGAACATGACGAACATTCACTGTTGCATTCACAAATGAGGTGCATGGGAAAGTTGGTCGGAGAAACTTTACGGAACATTCTTCCTCTTTGAGCCATACGGAGTTTTCACTGGCTCTGTTATGACGATATGCCATAAGTGATCGGCAAACGGTGAGCTATTTGCGGTGTGGGTGAATATAAAACATAGGTTCAACTATAATAAGGTCGATAGGTTGTCTGCTTTGGTCTGATTTTCACCGCGTGTGTTTTCTGGTGAGGATTTGTCGCAATGTGGTTGTACAGGGCATTTCACTTTATTTCCTTCTCTTGCTCTCCTCAGTTACAAGGCCATTGTTCTTGAACAATGCATTGTCCCACAACGCAAAAATGGCGGGGGAGAAGAACACCGACACCTGTGTCGATCTTCTTCTCCCCCGCCGTTTTTACTTTTTTCTTTTCTTCTGTTTTTTAAACTGTTTTTGTGGGTTTCAGTTCATTTACTGGCCCGGGCGATCGTCGAGACGCTCCCGGTCCTCAGGATAAAGAATGAAAACTGTTTCGAACTCAATCCCATCAATCACTTCTCTTCTCGTCCGGATGGTCACCCTAGCCTCAGCCACGTGCCTGGAGCAAGCTTCTTGAGTGATATCGCGTCCCTCCGGGACTGTGAGTGGGACGGCGTTAGTGGTGAGGTCAGCATCGCAGTTGCAGTCGCCCATCCTCAGACCCAGGTCTGCGCAGCCATCGCATATGAATGGAATGCTGTCGGATTCGACTGCGCAGCCGCAGAGTCCGTACTCCAGCACCAGGCGGCAAATGGGACATCTACTAATCGCGAATTCGCCGTCTCGCTCAATGTCTACTACTACGATGTGGGTCCAGCACTCCCTGCAGATCATGTGTCCACAAGCCAGGACGTCGCCGTCACAGCGGTTGGCTTTGGGGTCCATGGGGGGAACGCGGACGATTTGGATCTCGACATCCATGCAGACGGGGCAGGTGACGTAGGGCGGTGGATCCCGGTTGGGGACTTTGTTGATGTAGGCCTTGACTTTGTGCCAGAGGCTTTCGTTCGGGCGCTCAACGTCCTTGCTTCTGTTGATGCTGTTGTTGCTGCTGTTGCTGCCGCTGCTGCTGCTGTTGTTAGTAGTGCCAGCCATTTTAACAACAATTGTTGGAGTGCTTGGTAGAATACCTGAGGTTTGGAGTGAAAAGTTGAAATCTTCTAGCTTGTCTTATGGTTCTTGAAAGAAGTCACAATCCAATGAAGAAGATTGGGGTTGGTTTGATGAGAAAAGAAAGTCCTTGGAAGCTGACCAGCCTGGGCGTATTTATACTCCCAAGAGCGATCGAAACGATCTCTGCAGACGTTCATCAACACTGTGAAACATCTCACTCATTTTTTGACAGAAGGTGTGCTGTTTCAGATGGTGATGTAGAGTTGGCATGTCCCTTTCTTTCTTTGGCCATCCGAAAACAATAGCATTGTCTTGCCGAATTGGTCGTTGGCGTGGGCCCCAATGTGACGACTCCCTCCTTTTGTACTGGGTACCTGGTATACAGGTTCAAAGTTGAACAGTACTTAGCGTGGAGCGTGCTTAGGGTGAGCCTGGTGTGAACATCATCACTCCTGCTCAGTAGGTAATTTCACTTGCGCTAGTCGACATCCCGGGCATGGTGAAAATGTGAATGAAAGCAAGAACACAGATTCCGGAGGAGGGTATCTGGGCTAACAAAGAAGAGCAGGGCAACATTTGCTTTGTTCTTCTTCCGCCGTGGTACATTGTTCTGCCAGTGAATGGGGAATTGACGTTGACGTTACGTGTCGGCGATGGAAACAAGAAGTGAGTATATCCATCCGGTCCCGACCGGACTGCTATGGTTCACTACAGCCCCAACAAACATCTCCTCGTCCGAGGAGGTGGAGTTGGTGCAGCGCGACTACTGAATTAACCTTTTTCAACTCACGACTTGACATTTTCAACCATTTAGGACGACAGCGATGGAAGCCAGGTGTGGGATAATTAGGTATCTTGAGCCCTGGGCGCCCCGATCAATCACAGCAAAGGTGGCTTCGGGCACTCGATGCCCGACAACCGGCCTGCCCGGAAAGAGCCTGCCAGTGAGCCTGAGAGCATTGCCCTCGCTGGCAATCCGTGCGTGAGGCACAGCCTTCCAGTCCACTTCTTCCAAACGTGCAGAGAAAAGGCTGCATGGGCAAGAATTTCTGCTGCTAGGCCACAGGCAACACCCAGCCTTTCGACAACTTTGAAACGCGTGGAGATTCTTTCCCTGGTGGGCTCCGAAAGCGGGATCAAGAGGTCTAGGTCTGTGGCGGCGCCCGCAGCAGCGAGGCTGGTCGTCTGGTTGATGCAGCAGATGCGCGCAGCCATGGGGTCGCGAAACCTGCACATTGGGAGCGGCGTTGGCGGGGGCGTAGACGAGAGACTGCATCCTCGAAACCGGCTCAGCAAAAGGACAAACAGAAACCGAAAGTCTACAGAGCAGGCGGAGTAACTCGGGTTGCCAGTGCCCCCACGAGGGCATCACTGAGCGCTCCGCTGGAATAGGAAAAGGAGGGTCAATAACCTAAAGCCATGGATGCATACATGTGATGATATCTGCAGCAATCACCACTTTTCGCTGACTTCTATCGTGCCATTTCATAGATAGATTACAATCCCCAATGAGCGAAAGAAACAAGGCGAGCAATCAGAACAGGTTTTTTTTTTTTTTAAAGAAAAATACCGCATGGCCGAGACCTGCAGGGAATGCAATGCGTGTCTTCGGACCTCCCGTCGTTTGCCGCCAGCGGCTGAGACCCCATGGCCGGCAACACAACTGTGCGAGGACTTGAAATCATGCCATGTGGCACTACCTCCCTACCTAGGGACATATGCATTTTTTTTTAGTGTAGAATGCCAGAGACAGAGCCTCGTCCTAAACCGCTAGGTACACGTGCTTTTCTAATCGAGAAGACAGGGGGGGAGAGAGGGGGAGAGAGAGGAGGAGAGAGAAGGGAGAGAGAGGGGGAGAGAGAAGGGGACAGAGAAGGGGACAGAGAGGGGGAGAGAGGGGGGGGGAGAGAGAGAAAGAGTATAAACTTTGCTCCCCCGACCCCCCGACTCCTCGTTCTCTTTCTTATTTCGTTATCGCAGCTGGAGCCTCTGCAAACTCGCCCTCATCCTCAGTTCTTGCAAGACCTGGGAAGCGCACTGAGCCGAATCTGTTCACAAACACAAAAAGCCGGATTATACCCAGCTTATTACGAAAATACAGTAAGTTCGTACCTATATGCCCTCTAACTACTATACCTCAGCTGCTCTCTTTTCCTCCCATGATCACAAGCCCGTCCTAACCTCGACCATCGGCCAGAGCCCTCCCT